ATTGAGGCCTTGGAAACGTCCCTGCACCTTGCCTGTGGACGCTTTTAGCAACGTGGTCATAGATTAAGTCATTTCAGAGGCCTCCCCCCCCCATCCGCGACGTCGACGGATTTGGATTTGCTTCGGCGATGCCAGAAGAGTTCAACATGTGGGTTTATCTTAGGAGATAGGTGTCTGAGATACATTCTCTCTGCTTTTCTTTCAGGAACCCTCGAAAACGAACCAGGTAGGAGTTTTCAGTTCTCGGTTTACTTTTGGCAGGTCCTGGGTTTTATGCCATAGAAAAAAGTGGCCATCGCCACGACTTAATGCATGTTCAGCTCATTGTTCAGGAAGAACTCAGGCAATTCAATACCGAATAATGTGGCCTGCCGAAGTTCTGATTAGCTTTATTGTGGGTTTTCTTTGACATTTCTCTGCCAGCATATTCGCAATGCCGAGGTAATTACCCTTGATGATGATCATGAATTCTATCTACTCCACAGTTTTTGCCGGTTTGCGCACAACCACTTTGTTGCTACGTATCTAGATTTCGCGTCAATTTTGGGCTTCTGAATATGTGTGTCACTTCGGAGATCGCGGATGTTCACGTGTTCCTAGTGCTCTCTCTCCTCTCATCTGAACTATGCTTTTCGACTCGGTGTTGTCATGAGGCTGCCTCAAGACGAAAGGCAGCCAGCCCCAAGTCGCAGTCAGTGTCATGGGTTGAGCTGATGATGGGGCTCTAGATTGAACCGCAAGGCACAACAGAGCGAGTATAACCCCAACGCGATCCGTGAACGCCCTTCTACCATTGTTAAAATACCCGATTGCGACCGAAAGGACACTGAGCCCGTGACTAGATGGTTAGACTTCTGACCAACAGAATGCGGGTTCGAGCCTGAGGGTTCGCAAATTCTGGGACTGACTATGGCTAGCTGACCGCTAATAAGCCAGAAATGGCCACTTCAGTACTTGATATGGCTGCGGTCATGTCTGATCTAGTCAGCCTCAATGATGTCACGGACTGTACTTCCCCACGGGGTACGATCTGCGGCCATAGATCTGGACAGCTCATACCCATTCTCTCCGTCAGCGACGAAGACCAGACACAGAACGCCCAAGAAACCAACTCTTTGTCGTGGCGAGCTGCGTCGAGCTAGGTTTTGAGTTGACCCTCCCCCCCCCTCTCCGATGCCACCAATGGGGTAACGGTACCGGATCGAGGGGAGCAGTACTGAGCTCTTCAGGCGGACGACGAAAACCACGTCCAAACCACCTCAGTTTTCTTTCTTTGATGGTCTGGGTTATCCTTGCTATGCTGTCGCAGCTGGTGCAGACTATCTCATTTGAGGCGAAGTCGGCGCACTTCACTCGAAGGATGGTCGTCAAGGGATGGTGGTCAAATACCTCCAATTTTCACTCGTCCTCCATGCGCACAGCCCAGAATTCACAACAGTACAGAAGGAGAGGTCGGACAGATGCATGGTAACCACAAATCCTAGTGGCGGTGGAGATGGCCGCTGTAGTCCCCCAAAGTGTCTATGCTGGTGGTAATGCCATTCGTCCTATATCACTAGCTACTGTGTGGCTGCTGGCAGGGCTCAAGATTGAGTCCCACGGCACAACAGGGTGAGTATGCCCCGTAACGCTATCGGTGAGCGTCTCCCTACTGTAATAACATTAATCTTATCAGCATGTTCCTCCGTTTTTTTGCTCTTCTTCTACTCTGCACTCTCCCTGTGGTAGGCTCGAGCTCGTCAGCTGTTTGCTGCCGGATTCAAGACTGTCGACGAGATTGCGGCCTCGGAACCGTCAGCTCTCGTCTCCGCTCTGGCACCCCTCCTCTCACGCAAGGCCGCCAGGGAGATTGTCCAGGCCGCGCGCATGATCCTCGCCGACAAGGTGGACTCCCTTAACAAGGAGGCTGCTGATATTGCTAAACTCTTCACCCTGCCCACCGTCTCTCCAACAAACGACAGCTCTGGTGGCGGTATGGCTATGTCTCCGGAGGCTCTGACTTGCAAGGACGACCCAGAAGAACGTGGCGCCGAGGGGGAGGAGGAGGAGGAGGACGAAGACTTGTTTGCTTAGTGTATTTTTCACTTTTGTGTGTGTGTACTTAAGGCCTCCGTTTTAGCATTGTGATACATGTTTACTTGTGTTTTTACTTTGTTAACTCTTGCCTTCAATGCGGAACGCTTACCACGCTCTCTACTGCTCTTCGCTTCTTCAGCCAATGGGGTGGGGTGCAAGTCTCTACTCAAAAGCTATTGCCAGTCAGACTGATCCAGCTTACATCCGAGTCCCGGGTTGTGATTGTTTGTTCAACATCGGCCCCCGGGCGTCTCATCCGTTCGGGTAGAAAGTCTCATATGTAGGGAACTCGAATTTACAGGTCGACTCAGCCTTCCGACTCAAACATCACAAGACCCTTTTTGCTCGTACATCTGTTTGGTCGGTCATCAAGCAATCTGCACCTAGGAAACTTAATTTTTTCCCCACTTGTGAGTGAGCCGTCTCGTCAGTGACTACCATAGTTCATCAGTAGCTCTGGTGTGCTCTGTCGTGTGACGCCGACGATAACGGCCGCTGCAAGCCGAAAATACTAAGCGTGCGTCCCACCCGCTGATTCTTGTCAAAAATACATTGACAGGCGCAAATTTTGTGCGTCCTGTTGCGGAACTACGCCGGTCTAGACTGCTGAAAACGAACAGCAGCACCGAACTCGGGTCAAGCGGCCGCCTAGGCGTTACGGCTGGTCCCAGTGGTGTCATGGACAGAGGGTCTGTTAACGTAGCCCTGTATTTACAATTCTCTGAATCATCCTGCAGATAACGAGTGGGAGACAAATGCTAGGCCCAGGCATCTGCTAGGGCACTCCAACTACTTTTAGATTTGCTAATCCTTGGAAACGTCCACCGGCTTAGCTAGGGAATTGAAAATCTGACTGCTTATCGTTTGACAAGCTTGCCGCGGGGCTGACTGCGTGTGGGCAATGAGTCAGGACTGTTCAGAATGGCGTAACGTCATCGAGTGGGTCAGAACTAGGCTGGCAGTGGCGATTGCTGGCCTTCCCCGTAGCTGCATGCGTCTAATTTGATTTACGCCACGTGAGTGCACGCAATCCTTCGTCCCGGAAGTGTTACAGAAATCCAAAATGGCAAGAGCGACACAAGATGGACCGTCAGCTGGGGTGCCTAGGAGGTATTTTGGCGCTGTTTTAAGCGACTTCGAGTATTTCGGTAGGTTGTATTCTACAAGAGTAGGATTTCGTCCTGATCCCAGGGAATGGGCGGTGGAGGGTTCATCACAACCACAAAGATCCCTACGATAGTCCCGAGCTGCCTTCACCCAGTAACAGATGCAGGGACGAGGGAAGGGCAGGGCGGATTTCGGCCTATCAGGAACCTGCCTGTCAAAATTTTCCCGCGAAAAATAACAGCAGCAGTGATAGCCAAGACATTGCTGCCTGCGTCCCTGATTCCTGTGTGTTACAGCAGATTTCAAATAATTTACTTTGACCCAACTGTGAAAAACTCGGTGCCTAAGTGGGATTCGAAACCACGACAGCGGTTGGGTCAAAGTGAATTATTAGAAATCTGTCGTGAGCCTGGTAGTCATCTGGCGGATTCTATATGTATTACTTAGGAAATCCTGCTTGGGCAATCAGCTTACTGTATCAGAATTGGTGGTTTATGGACGTTGCACTAAGTGGAGTGGGGAAACTTAACCCAAATGTGATTAAACGCGCATCGTCTGGTGGGGCCTCGTTGCTCAGGTGGTTAGAGAGTTGGCTGTTCCAAAGCCTCCCCTTGCTGTCGTGGGTTCGAATCTCACCGAGGCACCGAGTTTTTCACAGTTGGGTCGAAGTGTATTCTCTGATTCCGCCGCGGCACTCTACTCGGTCGATATAGGTGCTCTCGAGACCTACGGAGGCTGTTGGTATGGCCGAGAACTCATTAACATACAGGTAAGCTGTCGATTCACGTACACAAAGGTTTTGGCACACGGTGAGGGAAAGGAATATCTTGTTGTTAGAACGCCCATTCGTCCGCCCTATTTGGCTATGCTATGTACTCGGTTCTGTTAGCAGCACGCCAGGAAGTTCAGGTAAGACAACACCTCGCCTCGGACCTTGACTTCCTTGAAAAGCCTTTCGAGTAACGCAATCTACAAGTAATATTCATTTTTGCATATTTGGTCTGAAAACGGACGCTGGGAAAGTCAGAGCGCTGGTGTACCGCCTCGCGCCATGCGCCGTTTCCTGTTGGCGAGAGCTCGTTGGGGATAGAGTATTTCGTCTAGGGGCCACCTGCGACAAATGTCGAGAGACGATGAGCCGCTGCGGGCAAATCGCGTTCAAAATGTCCAGTCGACTGAACATAACTGGCCTCAGCGGATGGTCAAGGAGGTAACAAAGGTTCGGAGGCAGGATATTACAAACTTAATGCAAAACGCAGTCTGCGTGCTGTTGACTTGAGGAAAATAGAGGTGCTTAACCAATGGTTTCGCAGCCGCCGAATATTACAACTTCGGCTCATGAACTACCGATCGAATGTTCCTTCAAACAAATCGGGAGCCTGTCGGCTTTTTTATAAACTCGTCTCTGAGGGGTCAGTCACAGTCATCTGACTCGACGATCGCTCAGCCGCAATGTCACATCCAAAGTCAGCTGAGGTGGCACCGTCACATTCGCCAAGTAAAAGAGCGGACGCGCGATTAAGCCGATTTAAAGAGGATACCGGCCCCGATTGTCAGGTAATATAGTGTCAAATAGACAGCGATAGCTAAGAGTTGCCCACGATGCCGTGGACCTGGGGGCGGCCAAACTACTATCGGTGGTAGCCGTTACCAGCACAGGGACATATGGGCTAGCTAAATACAAACGCCGGCGGGTGAATGTAAAAGATAAATATTTTCTGAGCGTCAAGATTTGAATGGTAACGAGACGATGTCTGGGAGCTGAGTTTATTTCAAAATAACTAATGAGTACTAGTATGAGGACGCCAACAGTTTGCTTATGCGCTCATCTTCTTGTCCCATTCGTATTTGAAGCCAGGAGTACAGTCATTATCTGTCGCAGGCACATGTGAGGACCTACAGGGAAAATCAAAGCAAGAAAAAAAACAACGAAAACTGATGACGATGAGCTGGTAACAATCAAGTGACGAAGTTGTATACCAAACTATCATCCTGAAAAAAGGTGCTGGACGTGCAAACTGTTAGTGGTCTCCATTCAATTTTTGGTGTTTTTAACTAAGAAGTGCAAAGTTATAAGTGGGTATAATTCAGTTATGTTTTGATCCAAGGAAATGTCTCACATGCTCCCTTGCCGACATAAGCCTGGCATTTGGTGCATGAAACGGTTTTTGCGTTTGCCTTCTAGGCCTGCATAAGTCTGCAAAATCAAACTGGCAAAAAGCCTTGGGTGGAGACTGTGGTGGGGAACGGTGACTGCCCATATTTCCGAGTTTTGGCCATCAGACGATGGACAGTAACTGCGCGTGGGTAAAATATCGCATCAGAAAATGTCATGGAATTAGGGCGCGAGGACCCGATCCCAAAATAAGTCCAGCAAGTTTACTGTAGAGTGGTAATTCTGATGGCGGGGAAGGGACAGCGGTAACAAGGTCTGCCAGCCCGAAGTTTTTAGGCACCCCCTCCGGGCCGAGCGTGGTGAAAACGGTCTTACTGCCGCGAGACAACGTAGACGACTTTCTGCAACGAGTGACAGACGTCAGTATTCATCGTTTTTACTCATCGTATTGGGCTGGCTAACTCTTCCGTTTAGCCAAGCACACGCACCCAAGTGCCAGCAGTTTTTCTACAAAACTGTCGAGTTCTAATGTAACAACTTCGATAATCGCCCCAATTATGAGCGATTATTTTTAAAAAAAACCTGTGTAGTAAGTTCACTTGGATCTCTGATTTTTGACATCCCACGCCTGTAGGATAGCAAGGCGCACGAATTAGTTAGGCAATCTACGAAGCACCTCGAGTGGATCATAAGACGGCTATCATCGGATGCAACGTTGCCGCTATACTGACTATAAGTCTGAGTCTTATCGTATTTGCTGTTTTAACCGGCTATATTCCACAATAACTGACCCTTGCTATTTGGCGACTTTTCACGTCAATGTTAACGAGTCTTGTGAACCAAGCGTAAGGGCGAAGACAGCAAAGCAACTATAGAACGCCAAAGCGTCTTTGAGGCGATAACTACCTAATCTTGACGGAAAATGGATGGAGGAGGCCAGGTGGCCCTAGCGATTTGCTGTTATGTCGGCTTCAAGGAACAAGTCTGCAGATGGGCAGCCACACACGAGAAGAGGCGCCGTTGTAAACACTCGCGAACAGATATAATTAAATTCAGTCAAGAAACTCACGACCTGCCGTCACCTAGCCGCTTCGGTCCGAAGTTGAAGATTTCCGAAGGTGGGCTTGCCTCCCGTCTAGTGTCGCGCGTGAGGTAATAATTTTCAGACAATTTGTGGTTTACACCCATCGGAAGGTTAGGCGGTGGCTGAGTGCGTTTTGACTGCAGATCGGCATATCGAAGAGCATTGTTATACTCTCTCTAGCGGCGCATGTATTACAGAATTCAATCAAACCATTAAAAAGAAGTCCCTTATCTTGGCCGTCAGCTTAGTGAGACGGTCAAAGCTACGGTGCGCCATCACGACAAACAACGTGAAATTTTAAAATCCGCAAAATGCTGCTACTAGTGGCGAAACCAGGAGGCAGCAAAGCCCCGCGCAATTGTTTGTGGCGCTCCCAAAATAAACGATTTGAACATTTCAGATTTCCACTTTTGTAAAAGACTAGACTAAGACCGTCTAGACGCATTTCTGCTAGAATTTTCGTCAATTTGATGCGACAGAGCCTGAACAAGGAGTTTGTTTTAGCGATTTAGGGGCGGTCTGAATGGGAACAGAGCTCGTTGTGTGACGTAGTGTTGAACTTCCGCAACACAAATTATACCATAATCCTTTTGATCGAATCATTGAGTCGGATTATCATAACTGCATTTCGATTGACAGCTGAATAAGCGCCTCCACATTCGATTAACATATTTTCATACCTCGCCTTGATTGTGGTACGATGTTAACCAACAGAGATGAAGTTATGTGATCAACAACTTTTGATACGACAAGTAAAGCCAAAAGAATGCTATTGAAGATGAGAAGAACTTCATGATTTCGCATCTAGCAACTCAAATACTCTCGGACGTTACACCGAAACCAACAATAGACCCTGCAGTGATAGTAAGAAATCTAGGATAATGTCCGCGGCGTGTCGTTGTTAGAGAGATAAAAAGCAAAAGCCACAACGGCGAAATTATAGCACCAGCAAGTAAACCAAAAGGAGGACGAATAAAGACTGCGTGATACATGATATGCGATGACATTTTGAATTTCGGAAATCTGGACTTACACTTGCATCCTCGCTTAATTTATCACAGTGTCGATTGACGAGTGCTAATAAGATAACGTGCAGCCTGTGTCTGGAAATTATTCCAAAGCGTTTACCAGCTCCGCATTAAAAAGAGCTCGCCCTTATATAATGGGGTGCATGGTATACGGATGTCATCATCGAAACAATGCACCGACTATGGAGATAGAAGGGTGTCTTGTTTTCGGTGGCTTTTTATTGACCTTATTCAAGGTAACACAAGTCTATAGTGGGAGCCAACCTGAAACTATAATTCCATAGGTTCCATAGATGAGGTTCGCTTCCACAACTTTCGGTGTATTTGGGAGAAACAGGTAAGGACTTACCATCACGGTGTGTTATATGTATGCACCTTGTTGATGGTTCGAAACTGGGTATTACAGTGTAAATCTCATTCACATAATTTACTTAGTCGTAATGACCATCGATCTGTTGTCTTTATTTATTTTGATCTTAGTAAAGCCTTTGATAAAGTGCCACATGAAAGACTCTTGGTTAAATTAGAAGCTATGGGAATTTGCAGTCAACTAATAGACTTTATCAAGTCATACCTGTCTAATCGTAAGCAAATGGTTTTGGTGGGATCTTCACTTTCCAGTTAAAGCCCTATTATAAGTGGTTTCCTACAAGGCACCGTTTTAGGTCCTCTTTTGTTCTTGCCTTACATAAATGATATCTCGCCAGTAGTTAAACATTCTCAATCATTTATTTATGCGGATGATCTCAAATGTGTATATTCTTTCAGTTAATCTACGAGCCTTCATTGTCTGGAGCAAATCCATGCTGGCTTGCTTGGTCTCTCAGCTTGGAGCTCAAAATGGCTAATAGAATGCTCTCCGTCCAGATGTCGCCATAGGCGTTTTGGACCTGAGAGGCTACCCCAACCAGTGGTCTTTCGAGGAACACCTATGACTGAGCGTACCACCATCAACGATTTAGGTTTAAGCTACACTAATAATCTTGATCTCTCGCCACACGCTGACAGAATTACAGCCAAAGCCGCCCAGATTTTTGGCTTTATTGCTTGCAATTTTTATTTTCCTGAAATTAAATTAAGGCTCTATCGTATGTTTGTACTTCCCATTCTCGAGTATTGTCGCCCATTCTTTGGTTTGATGGATGAGCCTAGTCGTTCAAAAATTGAATACGCCAAAGACGTTTTTCTCAGCAAAACTTTTAGATAAGGAACACTCAAATATTTCCTATTCAGATAGATGCCAGCTAATTAACCTAAAATTTTCATGGGTTCGAAGACTGGAAGCGGGCTTCTGTCTCCTCTTTCGCATTAGTAATAGTTCAAATCTTCCTCGGATATCTACACTTAGCCCTAGTAATCGCCCATAAATCTTCGCAACTCGTCCTTGATTATACCTCCTCCAGCTTCCTCCATCACTAAGCGCTCTCTTTTTTGCGTTCGGATATACTTTCCTCTGGAATAACTTTCCAATAAATATAAAATCTTCAGATAATCTATATACCTTTAAGAGAAGGTCACGCCTTTATATGAATACCGACTAGATTAAACTTTTATTTTCCCCATCCTTCCCGAACAACTTTCTCTATGACACTGAGGAATGACCACCGAGAATTTAGGACGCCGCCATTAACTTTCCGTATCTACTCACATTTCCTTCCTTTTTGAGTAGTCTCGTTTTCTAAGATCCCTCACCAGAAATGTTAATTTTTCCAATTTTTCAGTTCATGCATCGTGCCCTCACATAATGCGCTCCATCGACAGCCCTTGGCGAAACCTTCTGTATTCGCCATATACTAGTAGTCTGGTCGCATATCCCTTGCCCCATCATCGGATGGACTCGAATGAATGTAACCGACCGCATCTGGTTCCTATCGCCTCGAGACTGGTTTTCAGTTTCGCCACTTATTTGTCTTATTCAAAGCCACATACAGGCCAGTCCTGACTGACCTGCCAAATTACCCCTTCATGAAATCCGTTATACAATGCCATACACAGCTGACATTTATTTCTGTCCTGTCGATGTCCGATTATAATCCATTATATACCGCCACATGCAGGCCAGTCCAGCCTGCATTTTTCCGTTATTATTTTTTTATCGATGAATTTTTTCTTCTGTAAAATCAATCTAATCATTTTTTGAATTTTCATGTGGAATTTTTTATCACCCCTCGCTAATCATTTTTCTTAAAGGACTACTAATTCAAAAACCGTGAATTCAAACCATGAATTTTGCCTAACTCGTCTAAAATTCGCATGTAAATATATCTTTACTTGCTTTGAAGGGACCCCTACGGGTCATTAATAAAAATTATTATTATTTAAGTGGCTTATAGCTCAACTTCGAAACTCCCGGAGACCTAGCCATCTACCTTTACCAGAAATGGGCTCCACCTTTTATGTGAACATTTTCACAATTATAGTGGAAGTCAACGTCCGCCGGTTCTTTGTGGTTTACCCCTTCCTAAACTATCTTCTCCGTTCGGTGGACGTGCACAGGGCGTAGTTCACAGCTGTTGTAAATTCCAACCTTGACTGGCCCACTAAACGACATAGCCATATTTTTTTCCGTGTGTATCCTCACAGCCGATACTTCTGCATCTCATCTCACCCCTTATGCATATCAAGAAGTCCTACAGAGAGGTCAACATGTGTGTATATATGTAGGGTACGGGTGGGGTGTAGGGGAAATTAAACAAGGCAAGTTGAAACTGGAGTTCATATACCAGAAAACACACGGGGAAAGCTGGGGACCCACTGACGAGCCGAACCCCTCGCAGCTGCGTCAGGCAGCGGCACAAGATCGGCGAAACACGCGTGTCTGGGCTTTTAGCTAATACCTGTGTTGTTAGTACGGTAACTTATTGCACAATGCTATACTACTGGCTGCCTGTTGGCGGTTTGTGAATATTAAGCGGTTATTCCGCAGTAGCTGATGGATTTCAGCTCAAATATTCATATCAAATTTCGGACCGTGCCTGAAAAGGCCTGTTTCGAAAGAGTAACTCCAAGTTCGCGCATTAATTTCCTCGGAAATTAAACAAGGCGGGGTGTAGGGGTGTCAACGGTGGGTCCACGTTATGGTCGTAGTGGTCGCTCATTTGCTTGCAGGTGAGACTACGCCTAGCGTCCACTTACTGGCACTCAACTCTCACCTGTGGCTACACGTAGCTGGGCTCCGCTCAGCGGCCACACTCCGGGCAACCGGCGGGCTAAACCAGGTTAGGGTATCTGTGCGTGCACCTGCACACGCAGTACTGTGGTCTCCGCTGGCCGGATGGATCTTCGCGTCGACTTCGTCGAGACGAGGCTCTGCCTGGACCATCGCCGGAGGCCGTCAGGTAAGTTTTTCTTCAGGTAAGTGAATTTGCTGTGTTTCTTCCCTTTGTCGGTCGAAGTTCCTTGTTGTATGCTGCTCTTGTTCCCTGCCCTCTATATGTTAGTCTGTCTGTTAACATCTAGATGGAACTGTTGATGCCCGCTGCGACTGTCTGTCTATCAGTCTATGTCTCTTTCTGCTAATAGCTCGGTGTTACTGTGCTTGATCTTGAAGGATGCCCTCTCACTTCTGTCTCTGACTTATGACTGTGTCTGTTTGTACACTCTAGCTGTAAGTCCCATAGCGTTAGGTAATGTGCATCCTCTCAACAACTTCGTCACAATCACCACCAAAGTCCCAGGCTAATTCGGGTCGTTCTCTCACCAACAAAAATTCGTGGCCCATAGTGGAGTCGGGCAGCCGTCGGGGTTACCGGGCAGCCCTATTTAGGGATAGGCTGCCTGCACTCGCGAGGGGGAAGGGGCCCAAAAGATCGCTGGGAACCACGCTGTCTGTAGGCTGGCTGTGGCCCCAGACAAAACACACACGGTCGAAACAGCCAAAACCGAAACAATAACAACAACAATCACTCTCTTCCTCTTCCAGCCTATTCTTCTTCTCCTCCTCCTCCTACTTATCGCTGCCGCAGTCGCCAGACTGGCGGAGTGAGACCGCTCACTCTGGCAGCCTGGAATGTTCGTTCACTTTTATAAATCCGAGGAGCAACCGACCGGAAAGGAGGACGACGCTAGTGGCCCGGGAACTGGCGCGCTACAAGGTGGACATCGCCGCACTCCGCGAGACTCGATTCTCCGACAAAGGCCAAATGGAGGAGGTGGGTGCCGGCTACACCTTCCTCTGGAGCGGTCGACCCAGGGCAGAGCGACGAGACGCGGGTGTCGCCTTCGCCATCTGGAACGACATCGTGGGACGACTGCCCTGTTTGCCGCAGGGCATCGACAATCGCCTGATCAGCTTCCGTCTGCCTCTCCGGCGTGGGGGCAAATTCACCACCATCATCAACGCCTACGCTCCGCCGATGAGCAGCGTGACGCCGCTGCAAGAGACAAATTCTACGAGGACCTGCACGCACTCTTGGCGACTGTGTCGAAGGCGGACAAGTTGATTGTCCTTGGTGACTTCAACGCCCGCGTCGGCACAGACAATTCTGCCTGACAAACACGTTCTTCTGTCTGCCGGAGCGAGAGAAGGCCACCTGGAGGCATCCTCGGTCGCGTCAGTGGCACCTGCTGGACTATTTCCTCGTCCGGAGGCGAGATCGGCGAGACGTGCTGGTGACGAAGGCGATCGCGGGTGCTGACGGGTGGACCGACCATCGCCTCGTCATCTCGAAGATGCGTATTCGCCTACAGCTTCGCAGGAAACCACAAGGTAAGCGACCTCCAGGTAAGCTGAATGTTGCCTTGTTGCCTTCGCCCGCTCATCATCCCCATTTCAGCAATGACCTAGCTCAACGGCTAGATAAGCTTCCTATCGCTGCCGCCGTCGCTGCCGAGAACGCCGCCGTGGAGAACCGCTGGTGTCAACTGCGAGACACGGTCCAGTCGACGGCGCTCGCCGTCCTCGGTCGTGCACGCCGCCAACACCAGGACTGGTCCGACGACAACGACGCCGTCATCAGCAATCTGCTCGCCGAGAAGAACCGCCTTCACCAAGCCTACGTAGATCACCCCTTTGATGCCAACAAAGCCGCTTTCTACCGCAGTCGCCGCCAACTTCAGCAACGACTGCGCGAGATGCAGGACGCCTGGACTGCCCGCACGGCTGAGGAGATCCAAGGCTACGCGGACCGCAACGAATGGAAGAACTTCTTCTCCGCAATCAAATCTGTCTACGGTCCGCTGATGAAGGACACTGCTCCTCTCCTCAGCGCCGACAGTAGTACTCTCCTGACAAAGAAGACGCAAATTCTGCAAAGATGGGCTGAGCATTTCCGAGGCGTCCATAACCGCCCTTCCACCATCTCCGACGCCGCCATCGAGCGTTTGCCGCAAGTGGAGACCAACGTGGACCTCGATCTCCCGCCATCTCTCCAGGAAACCATCAGGGCCGTGCAGCAGCTCTCCAGCGGGAAGGTACCCGAATCGAACGCAATCCCTGCTGAGGTCTACAAGAACGGCGGTCCCCAACTCATGGACCACCTGACTGCGCTATCCAGGAGATGTGGCGTCAAGGTGAAGTCCCGCAAGATTTCAAGAACGCAACAATCGTGCACCTATACAAGCGAAAAGGGAACCGCCAAGTCTGCGACAATCACCGTGCTATCTCCTTGCTAAACATCGCCGGGAAAATCTTCGCTCGCATCCTCCGCAATAGTCTGAATAATCATCTGGAACAGGGCCTTCTGCCAGAAAGTCCATGCGGTTTCCTTCTCCATCGTGGGACCACGAATATGATCTTCGCCGTCCGCCAACTACAGGAGATGTGCCAGGAGATGCGGACCCACCTGTACTCTATATTCGTGGACCTGATGAAAGCCTTCGACACGGTGAATCGTGAAGGACTGTGGAAGATCATGCAGAAATTCGGCTGTTCCGAGCGATTCATTCAGATGGTGCGTCAGCTGCATGACGGTATGATGGCGCGAGTCACGGACAACGGAGCTGTCTCAGAGGCATTCGCAGTGACCAGCGAGTGCGCATCCACGAGAGCGGAATTGGCCGCCATTCCGACACATCAACCACGTCCAACACATCCACTATGCCCAGCCCCACACTCGTACCATCTTCCTGCGCGCACACCACCACCACCATCACTGCCTCCTCTGTAGCTGACACCGACAACGCCGACTTCACCTGCCCACACTGTCCACGCACTTTCACCTCACGCATCGGCCTGGTCGGTCACTTGCGAATCCATCACACAGAGACTGGAGAACCAGTGCCTGGAGCACCAACCTATACCCAACAAGCTCGTCTCAACTGCCCACACTGTCCTCGCACCTTCAGGCATTGCATGGGTCTATTCGGCCACATGCGCATCCACGACGACCTGCGGTAGGCAACCGCCGGTTACATCACACCACATTACCCTCCCGCCCAGCCTCCTCCACCACCACCCACCACACACCGACACTCACCCACCGCATGAGCCCAACTGCTACCCTCCACGCAAGTGGGAAGTGTGCATGTCGACTCGGTCCCCATGCGGCTTCGGCTGCACGGGTGACTTGAGTCTGAGACTATCCCGACACGTTAAGCGTCGCGGATAGGAAGGTTGTTTATTGACGCCCGCACCCGGTTCACGCGGTTAGTCGCGTTGTGCGTGTGTGTATGTGTGTTGTGTGGAGTGGCGGACTGGTGGGCTGGGGACGGGCTGAAGCAGCACCTTCTATGGCCCTCTCACGCCGTTCAACCCCCGTAGTGTGAAATCCTGGTGTTCGTGTGTGTATGGGGGGCCAGGTCGTGCACGTGGCGCACGCAGGCATGATTAGTCGACCGTGCCAGCCACTGCGCCCATTTCCCACTCCAGTCTGCTGACCGGCTCGGACATCGGCTGGGGTGTGGGAATGGGAAGGGAGAGTGAGGTCGACGACAGCGCGCTTTCCTCACTATAAACAATCTGACGCGCTTAAAGTTATCACGGTGCGCTAAAAGCCGTGGCTTGGAAGGTGGCCACCTGACGGGGTAACTTGAACCTCTTCATTGGCTGGAGGTGGTCTGAGAGCCAGGCTGCAATGGCTCCTTCTTAATGTGGCCTTTATGGCACTCCCACCACCGAGTGGGATACGAGCCATGCGTTGGCGGCACACCTAGTTGCGGTCTTGGCCGTGCCAGCCTTCAATCTCTGTTGTGTTGGTTGAAATCCTGGTCATTTGTGTGTGGACCAGGGGATGCGGAGTGGAGCGCCAAGGCGAGGACCCGTCCGAGCCATCCACCTGCGGCCTCCCTAATCTCCGATATTCTTGACTCTGTCTTGAGACCGGGCTCGGGCGAAAGAGGAGGAGAGAGTGTATGTAGATGCAGTGCAAGTCTACTGGCACTATAAACCCCTGCGTAAGTCACCGTCCCTGCTCCCACCGTTGCAGCTGCAGCTGTGAGGCACACGGTGGACATCATCGAAATCGATGGTCGAACTGTCGGGTTACGGGCCAAGTCCTTTATGGCCCTACTGACGTACCATTCTGATTATAAATGATCTCCTATAAAATCAGTATAAAACATAATCCTTTATAGGGCTTACGGAACAATTTTACATCAAACATGTGGTTATACAATGCATATGGAATGAAATCGGGAGGAAATGTTCATAATGACAGCGGCAAAGTAGCAGTAAAAGCATCTAGAGTAGATAAAAAAATTGTTACACCAAGTGCCCTAGAGGCACCGTTGTAGCGGCTGAGAAGGTCAAGCTTGGCAGATACGAAGGTAGCGAAGCATTGGGAATAGATCTTGGCGAAGACCGAGTCAAATGGAGTTGTTAATATTTCACAATAACCATCCATACGAAAGGAAAAAAAGGCGAACGAAAATTTAGTTATTTCGTTAGTTCAGTCGAACATCTGTTCATGGTGCATGACGGAAGATAAATATCTGATGAAGATACAATCCCTTTGATAAGGTGAAAAAAGACTATTATTACACCATGCCCAATAAAAAGGCTAGTTGCATATGCATGTGAACGCTTTCGGATGTCTTCAGTTCATAAGGAGCAACCAGGATTGTTAAAATCTATTCATTAGGTGATCTTACAAAATAGAAGATTGCTAACAAAGATGTTTTTTCAGGAGCTAATGACAAAAACTACGTCATATTTATGGCTAAAGAAATAATGAGAATGTCTATGCGGCAAACTGGTTTTGTTAGATATAGTTTTGAAAGTAAGCAAACGAGAAACAAACTGCGTACCGCCAAAATGTAGTAAGAATCCATTCGGAAACGGTGTGCTCTACGATGCTGAGGTCTGGATCCTAATGAGGTCCTGGGGGCAAATACTTGCATGCTTATGAAAAGACTTTAGAAACAAGGCACCACTAAGTACATATAGTTTGAATTAGGTATTTCCTGTCGGGCGAACTCTTCCTTGCCCCTATTTAGATGATCACAACTCCTGTATGATGTGTTAAACGGTGATCGGATTGGGTGTACGAGTTCAGGCGTTTTCTCGTTGCATTTTCACTAACTACTTACCCGGAATAGCGCAAAGGAGCTGCCTTCTGTCTCCTTAAAATAAAGGTCTTTAGTTTAAACTCAAACTGTGCACTTTTTACAAGACTTCGGTTGATCTAATGCGGGGTCTAGCGGACTATGCTGAACAAAACGTATAGAGGCAAAGGAACCAGGACTCCAGCAGACCAGCGCATACTTCGCGCAACGCATGCCACTAGTCCGTAAATTGAAATGAGAAAAACCTGAGGGTGTTAAGGAATTTTTTACAAAATTTTGCTTATATAGCCAAATATGAAAATTCCCCCTTGAAAAGTTTTCCAAAGCTCAGCTTAGATAAACTTCAAATTTTGCACCTATTGCTTCCTTTTTCCCCTTTGAGTATTGCCATGACGCAAGCAAAACTGCTGCGGTTCGTTCTCCAGCCTTGCAAGCGCCAGCCTACGTATATTCCATTTAAATCACTGCACTTCCCCCTCAATTATTTTACTTCGACTTCATAACTTGTCTTTCAATTTAGTCGTTAGTTTTTGGTGCCTAACTTGCCTTTTCGATTAGTGCTTGGCTAAATTATCATCAGTTACTTACAAACTTTCGTTCCACGGCATTTAGCCTTCTTTGCGGACCAACTCGACACTACATACCGTCTCTTTCACACTTTTTCGAACTACCAGAGTAATAAGCATTCTATTCTTTTGCCTGTGATCACTATTCCCGCAAATTTTAATAGCAAATGCCATTGCAATCAGAGGTTGGCGAAATCCAGAGTAACCCTTTATTTACCGAAACGGTTATCATTGGACGATGAGGCTGGCTTGTGAAGAAACAAGTAACGCAGAAATTGTCGAACGACATACACATACATGTATGCATGTACCTATATATTCTTTGTTCCCTTAGGCTACATTGCAGCATAATTCCTTATGGTAATAATACCAAGAATTGTAATGCGTTTGCGCATACACTTATAAACCAGACGGTATTTCGGACAGAAAATTCTCGATACACTGAACATTTTCTTAAACATCATGACCCCACGTGAAAGTCGTACCAAGCCACAAACTACGCATAAATACCAACGCTCAAAATGTTTCTAGTCGTCTGTACGCGGCAGCAGTCACGAACCTCCAAATTTGTTTGCCGATTTTCAACTAAAATCTTTTAAAACCCAGGTTTTTCGCCCTCACCTTCTATTCGAGCCCACATATTCACACGCATTGTCATCTACATTCCGGTACACCGCTTCTGTATGCCTGATCATTTGGCTAGACTTGCCCTTCTTGTCGGAATTTTACATTTTCGCCGCGATTTATGGTTGGTGTTAAGTCTCCGGTTTCCGGACTTTTACGGGGGGCTTTAGCATCTAACCTCATTTACTACACTTGAAGCCATAAACTGTCAAATACTGCCATAATAATAATAATAATATTATTATTATTATTATTTAACGCCAGTTTACAAGCATTGCCAGGGAAATATAAAACCGGCCAACAGTGAAGAAAAACTCCTGACAAAAAAAAGATGCTGATGGTTTTTTATAGTCTTAAGGGTTCAGGAGAGAAAATGCAGTCATGAACTGACGACATTTGAAGTATGATACATCAAGATTCTTAATAACTTCAAGCAAATTTGTGTCGCGACCGCCAATACTTATTTGAGGCTGGTAGTAGTCGCCAGCCGTCATGAATGGGCATTTATGCCAAGAAAGAGAAAGGCGCCGTGTGCAGCACCACCGGGCGAAAGCCTGTAGATCGCTTTTTAGAAGGCCGAGCACGATGCCCCGATCTGCCGGCTTATATCTATATGCAGCTTTCAGATCATCGGAGTGCATGAAGCGCTTACCATTCTGAAATGAATCTGGTACATCGATAACGAAAAGGCAAAATAATGGCCAGCCAAGTACACTCCCCTGAATGGCTCAAATTCCCAGAGAGCCTGTGCTGCCAAACATGGCCAATTAATAAACGGAAGGCGTCGAGATTAGGACCTTTAAAACTCTGAGACGGATCTCGCCAGATAAAGTGTGCCCTTTAACAGCAGATAACGAGGTTTTTGTTTGGATGGTGTTGCAGTTTATGACGCCAACTTCGTGAGATTAGGCTAATATCACGTCCTGCGGAAATTTGGTGTTCCTTTAAAAAAGCATTATTCAAGTAGCCATCAGCATCGTGTTGTTAAGAATGTTTTAAAATCTTTCACATTGTTTGCTGTCCGACAAATGTTATCGTCTCACGGCCGTTTGTTTATACACATCAGTTCGCACTTGGTAATACGTTGGTCAAGAGGTTCGCTCCCGATTCTGTTTCCCTCGACAATTGGTCGCTTGTTGACTTGGCATCGGCTGTCGGACTGCCCTTTTAGTTGCTTGGCATAAGCCATTAAATCTGATTGAAGAGTAGATGAGATGTCAGAAACAGCAGTTATCTCCCAAAAAATGTTTGTGCGCTGCTCGCAGTCCGAGTTAAAATTTGATACTCTTGGTTCCGCACTAACTAACACAAATTTCGAGAACAGAACCAGTGGTTCAGGCTTGTCATCACTTGCCCAACAATTTCGCGAAAATTGGTTGAGGTGTTCACCTAATTTTAGAGAGACTGATGATTCTCTCACCAATCTTACTTGGCTTTTTGTAAGTTACTTTTAGAATTACGAACTTCTCTAGGAGATGAGTCCGTTTTCCCTCGATTCTGATGAGGTCCCCGTCAGTTCAATCAACGGACCTCGCGCAACAGGTAAGATCGGTAAAACCCTCTCTTACCGCTTTAGCATTTTCGGGCTCGAACATATCTTGGCAACCCACGCATCCGTTTGCCGGCAGTTTGCTCGATCCACAGGTCCGGATGGATTATCGAACTAAATGGACTGGAAAGCCACCCTTTTCCTACGCATCTCTCATTTGTCTTGCTATGAGAGAGATTGGGAAGCCAAAGGTCACTTTGTCCGACATTTACGGTTGGATTATGGCTAATTTTGCATATTATCGACACACTGACTCGAGTTGGCAAGTAAGTGCTGCTTCAAAGTTTGTTGATCCTTTACCCCTTCGTTTTATATTATAAAACTTTCTCGCTTGGTAGAGCTGATGGATTTACATGTTGTGAACCTTTTAACCTCTATATCATTAACGTAGTATTTAATTTCAGTTTTTATGCCGCCAAAAATTTAGAGGCCCGTGGTGTTTCTGCGTCTTCGCTTTATTTTGCTTTGTTGGGTGTTTTGTTGTTGACATCAGATGTAACCGCAAATTCCGACCGTACAGGGTGCGTAATTCTGGCAGTACACAAACATTTTTGCCAGTGGTCTGGAAATTATTCGGAAAACTTTCATAAAATGACTGCTGCTCTCAGGCATTGTTCAAGAGTTATTTGAGTAAGCTTCTACCTAACACAGGCTGTATTCGTCTGGAAAATTGGCCTGTCGAAATTTCTCTCATATTTATTTGGTAGCAAAGATTGTCCTTGGGATGTTGTTTTCCGGAAAATTCAATGGTCTCCAAAGTTCACCTGTTCTGTTTTCCACATTTGGATGGTGGTTAAGTTTCCATAGGTGTCTTTAAGCTGACGTTCGATCGCTTTCAAGAACTCCCTTTTTACTTTATTATATCGCCATCATAACTTTCATGTTCTCTTATTACTTCTCTGCCACCTTATTCTTTCCATATTACTCTTGCCTTATCACTAAAACTTGCTTAGAAATTTCGCTTTTGCCTCTTCGATATACCAGTAGATGTTTTGGTCCAAATGTGATTAAACTCGGGTTTCCCGATGGGGCCTCGTAACTCAGTTAGCTGGGGCGTTGGTTGTATTAAAGCCTCCCCTTACTGTCGTGGGTTCGGATCCCACCGAGACGCCGAATTTTTCACAGTTAGGTCAGAATGAATCTTTGATATGCATGTTTACATATATTTATATAGTTTCTTGGTCTTCGTTTATTTCCTTAAAAGGTGTCTAACACAATTAACTTAGCCTTTTTCCCCTTTCCTTTTTTCCTGTCAGTACACCTCTATTTCATCACTAGTATTGCTACTTTAATTCGGGTTTAGTCGGCAGAAAACTATTTACGATTCTTCTTTATTTTAAATACTCCGTTAGCATACTCAAATCCAAGTTTTACGATACGCTTCTCCCAACATCTTTTGACACACACATATTTTGTGTTTTCATGTGCTTTGGGATCAGTATTTGTCCTCACGCCTTATTGTTATTTTGTGATTTATTTTTTCTGGAAAGCCTTCTTCCAGATTTACTAGCGTATAACACCGCTGACCTAATTTTAGTAGGATTCAAAGTATCGTGAGCAAATTTAATGTTTGACTTGGTCATGTGAATCAAACTATCTCTATAAAGTGCCAATTAGGTTGATCAAGGAGCTAACGTGGCAACCCATCGTTTGCTCATGTCTCAGCTACTTGAGGACACCGGGGTTCCCGAGGGCTTAGTTAATTGTGCTCTTAATGTAACTCGTTGACGCTTTCTCTTCAGTGTGATCATGAGATTGTCTCATTTCATGGAGGCGATTTTTTCCTGAAAAAGATAGCATAATGAATTTTACTCACAAAGGAATACCCATGCTCCATTTACCAGTTTTTTCTCTTGTACTGCATTAAATAGTCGTCGCGCCTCGAATCCATGACATGCCTTAGCGTATTATGGGTGTTGTTTTTTGTGCAGTTTGCTATCTATATAATCATCTTTCCAGCCTCAGCTCGTTGTAACCTGTTAAGGACTTGGCACTGGATCTAGAAATTTGGCGCAACCGCTTATCCGATCGGTAGTAAGCAGAGTAGTTGTTCGACTTGACAATACGCATCACCTCAAAGTCACATTTGACCTTTCCGAAACAATCCTTCAGTGACATCTGAAGGACAGGTGAATGTGCTCTTAAATGGAAGAACCTAATGAGGCATTTCTTTTAAGTCGACCACAATGCATGACCTCCTGCTTGAAGCAATAAAATTTAACGTGATATGATTCCTCCAAGTTTTCGAACTACGCGGTCTTCTCAGATAGTTCTCCGTTTATGCATTCCAAATAAAAGCATTTTATGTTAAAAACCTTTGTCTAATTTTCTATATTTGCTACTTATTTGAGTCCATGGAACTCTTCGGTCTATTAGTTCAAGAAATCTCAAACCACTTAAATTATGGGTATACTGGGCCCCGAAAACTTTTGTTTTTATATCAGAAGAAACCAACAGCGCATAAATCTAAGAAGCTTAGCTGATCTTTTCCTCTCTCCGATTATTTTGTTAAATTTCTTCAATGTTTTGGGTCACCGTATTCATTGTGTCCGTTCAAAAATCACGACAAGTATTTGCTCCATATGTCTGTCTGCAAGAGGGAATTTTTTCAGGACATTTTTATGTAGACTACGTCATACCAGCCTCAAGTACACTTTAGTATGTAACGGCAACGTTTGCAGATCGGGCTTCGTGCAGAGCACATTTTAAGCCTTCTTCGTTGCCCTGGACCTTCTGCTCTGAGGTCTCGCAGTCATAATCGCCTGAATTACAACACCGTTTTAATTCTCGACAGTTTTGGATAACATTTTGCTGCTTGTACGTACTTTTTCCGCTAAAAAGCATTAAAAAATATTCGGCTCATTTCCCAAGGTTCAATTTTATCGTAGTCATAATTAAAATACTCTTGTCCCAAGGTAAGTGCATCTTAAAAGGCAAACTAATCAGAATTTGGGCGTAATTTGCGCTTCAGTCAGTGGTTTCGAATTCGAGCAGAACGCTTTATTTTTTGAAATAAAATATGGTCTAGATCTTTTAATTGTAGAAGTTGTTATTCAAGCTCTGTATACCGTAAATGTCCCTTAACTTGTTTATTTATCTATTCTCAGGCTAGATAACTTCAAAATGTGCTGTTCTTACGTGATTTTTATAGCAAATCAGCCCGTAACTTTGTGTTTTTTTTAATGTAAATGCCAGTAGTTTTGCTGTCAGAGTTCTGAATTTATAAGCACCTAAAGAAGTGCAAGAGTCAGACTTTCTCACGAATTGTCCAAGCTGTGTTGTTAAATGTGTCCTGGAACCGGTCTTCCGGGACCTAATTGTCTTTTCCAGTAGGGTTTAAAAGCAGTACAGTGTCTGCTTATAAACCGCTTCTTTTATTATACTTTTCATCTCCGTAAATTATTTTCCAGATTTTATAGACGAATTTAACGATTATCGCCCCCCATTTCCACCACCGTCTTGCCCTTTTAAAAGAAATTGGAGCTCCTAAATTGCTGTTTATGTGGTTGCCGTGACGAATTTTAGAATCACCTTTCTGATATTTTTTAAATGAACACTTTTTCCCATAAAATAAACAGAATGATTGTTCAGGCGCAGGTAATCGTCTTTGAGGTGCTGTTGATAAAATATTGATCCAACGGCGAAAATAATAGTGCGATTTGACAAAAGGGAAAATTTTGGTCTAGCGCTCTAGCCGCACATGGACAGAACATCGTTTAGTGTCTATTTGAACGCCCTCTTACCGACTGCATTTAGAATCGTTTTAGCTACCACGCCTTCATTAAGCAGCTTCCTTCTGATCATTTATGCGTATTAAAAAGTAGACCATCATCCTGAATATTTACTCAATAAAAATCGCTTTTGCTGTTGCAGAACTCTGTGCGTCACAATCTGTCCTTGAACAAGTGCTTCGAAAAAGTACCCCGGGAGAAGGGGGAACGAGGTAAAGGTGGATTTTGGCGTGTCAACCCACGTCATGCTGACTGGCTAGAAGCGAACTTGGCTAAGTGTCGTCGGGCAGCACCCCCACCAGCACCGCCCCCGCCGGTTCCTAGATCCCTTATCCTTGAGAAACAGAATGGCGGCTATCAGAGTTTGAACCTCTCCAGTGGTCTCACCACCGTGGACTACCAAAGTTATTGTCGACCGCCATTCTCCGCCGTCTCCGCAACCTCCACCACCCTTAGTAACTCAGCTTCAGTGCCCTCACCCTTCTCGCCCCATTCATTGAGCTCCTCCTCCTCATCGTCATCTTCACGATCACCAAATTCGTTTTCCTCTTCCACCTCATCATCCTCTCCGTTTTCCACAGCTACAGGCCAAGCAACATCCCTTGGGCAGGCTAACTCTTATCCCTCCGGCCAGTTCTTGCCGTTTAATAAGACCTACAATGCTGTTGTTGCCTCCTCCTCCTCGTCACCCTGTTCAACTTTTGGATGGACGAGTAATGTCATGGTTGCCAGCGCAGCGGAAGCCAATATGAGCCAGTGTGCGATGACAGTGAACACCCTGAAGAGTAGCCCGAGTTTAAAGAGGTCGGTGAGCTACTATGAGTCGCTAGCTCCTACACAATCTGTGCGACGTAGGAAGACGCCACCTTGCTCTATGGGAACCCCGCTCTATCAGCCGAAATCTCCTAATTTCCTGTTGGGCATAGAGGAGGAAGAGGAGGACGAGTCCGGCACATCAGTAGCGTTGGAGGGGACTAATAAACAACTTGGGAACCGCGCTCGTTCTCCAGTCTACAAGGACCGGTTGCCAGCTTACTCTGCCTTCTCAAATCGGAAGAGACTGGCCCTTTCTTCCAGACGGCCTACCCTGATCTCCCCTAACGGTTCCAACCTCGGCATTGACTTGCATTCAAAGGGAAGGCTCGGAAAGACCGAGGAAGAGGAACCCAGATATCACGATTATACGAGGTCCTCGAAACACCATATCAGGTCAGACAGCTACTCAGAGGAGACCTTTATGACCCGGCTTACTGCTGACGACTACAAGGATCGCACGAAGAGCGGCTGCAGACTCGTAAAGTCCGCCTCGGGAAGAAAGCTTACGCAACCCGTCTTTTCTCGCCCCAAATCCGCTTCTGCCTCCATGCTTCAGGTACGTATTTTTGGCTACCTGTTAATATTTCCTCTTGTTTTTTTGTAGCCATATTGATGGGTCTGTACCTGAGTAGTCTGTTACATTTTGTTTAAACACGATAGCCGAAGGGGGATAAGTCCGATAGGCTATAGGCATAGGGTGTATAACTGAATCTCTCTTTGTGCTCTTGGGCATACGTAAGCCTCTTATTTGAAACAACTTTTGTCTCGGAATATGTCCGTTTCTCAACCTAACATGTGTAAAAGCGGCATTCGTTTGAGAGCAGGTGGAAAGAATTCACTCGCAAAAAAGGAGAAATTTGTGGGGATAAGAAGCAACTTTGGAGATTTTTAATAGCATGCGGCAAAAAACGACGGCTTCATGACAGGTATCACTGTATACGATGACTGAACCTTGACAATGGACGGTTTAGCGAGGCCTTGCGTAGTTTGACTTGCGAAGCATCTATTTCTCTATGGTTAGTTTGAAGTAGAATCCCTTGAAATCAAACCCTAGACCGCAGTGTATCGAGTGAGCGCTGCAATCCTCAAAACCTCGCCAACGTCATTGTTGATTGCTGCTCATTATGCTTGCAGGAACGGTACCAGCATAACCAACGCCCAATGATGCTATCCCTCATTAACTTGTTCATTTCTAAACTGTGCATTTCCTCCTAGGTCTTGAGTCATTTAAGCCTTATCCGTACAACCACATGTGTCACTAGGATTAGATTTTGTGCCATATAAATAGAGGCAGATCCCATTTTTTCAACCAGTTGAGTTCTAAAGAAAATTCATATTGACCCAACTGTGAATAACTCTGTGCCCCGGTGGGATTCGAACCCACGACAGCGAAGGGAGGCTTTAGTACAGCCAACGCTCTAGCCACCGGAGCTACGAGGCCCCACCGGACGACACGAATTAAATCATATTTGCCACATGAACTTACCATGTCTTATTTTTCCGCGGCTATAAGGCGTACGCTGCCGCCAAGAAAATAAGTAAAGGGTAAGATGTGGTTTGCAGCCGTAGCTGATGGACACAATACTGTTAGGGGTCAGGATTAGGGTTAGGGCAACTATTTCTCAATCACTCAACGTACAACCGCGCATTCTCAACAGCTTTCCTTTTGCATATAATCACTTGACTTCGTCGCCTGCACGTTTCGCGACCCCACCTGTAAAAACCCCTATCACCACCGGTCCCGTAGTACAGGTGGTTGGGGTTTGTTTACCACATCTGGCCAAGAAGTAAAGTGAGCATAATTACAAATGTATCATTTTCGGGATAGATAACCAAAGGTCGATTGAATCACTGCAGTCCAAGGAAGTGGATAGGGGCGAACCTGTTGTCGAGGTCAACAACCAAATGCAGACGTTTGCGCAGCGAAATTACTTTGCAACCATTTGACCATCGCTTTCAAAATGGAGGGTGTGGTTATGTTTCCACGCCCGCACCAAGGCAGCTGCGCTGTGCCTACAAGTTACATACAGACGCCTACTAATCAGGCCAGAAAATCACTACTTTTGGGCATACGTGTGCCTCATATTTGCAACAGCTTTCGGCACTCGCTTTGCCTCCACGCCACAATCAGCACGATAAGAAGGACCGGCCAACCGCGGTTTCAAATCGATAAGGCTTTGTTCCCACGCTTCACGCGGTTTCGGCTACGAGTGCGCGGCCCAGGACTTTTTGGGGGGCACCACCCAGTCAAAGGAGTGCGGAGCTATCGATTCTCGCCTCAGCGATTGCGCCTTACGGACATTAAATCACCCCATACTGTTTGACACCCTGGCTACCATAGCATTGTAGCCCGTTTCAGGGCCTTCGTAGCTGGAGTCACAAACATTATTCCACTATTTTTTTCACCAAAGTAGGGCAAGCTACATCTAGTATAAGTGACCCCGATAAATGTATGTCTTTTGGCAGGAAATTTTCTGTTCCCATTAATGGCTGGAAGGTGACTGTTTTAGGTCATTTCTATAAGTGGGCTAAAGAGACATAGCCCACGATCATAGTCCAGAAGGCAGTCCGACAGTCACAAGTGGCTAGCTCCACCCTTGTACCTAGAGCGTGGCTATGACTTCTGTATAAATTCGCTTATGTTTGAACAGACTTGCTTACAATCTGTCTCATTCACTGCTTCAATACTCGCCGTGGGCAATAACAGTACAGTCAGAATAACTGGAGGCTGACACAGGCTCATTGGCTGGTTAGATCAGACGACCAGTCTACGCGTGCCGCATACGACCTGGCCTCTAAGGCCACGCGGATTAGGATAGCCTGTACGCCAAAGGTAACAAAATAACGCATAAATTAACGCTAAATCGTAAATTTCACCCCTGGAGGTAGCATTTGCAGCCCTACTCTTAGTCATGAACCACAGCTAGCTATCCCACCAGTTGGCAACTTTCGAAGTCACGTTTTAGCGAGTCGAGATAGTTTCAAGCCCATCAGATCTAGACAGTATGGTATTACCGACAAGGACAAGGGAGGCTGGAATGGCCATTTCTGGCTTATTAGCCGTCATGCCGAACCTCGAAGTGTGGAACACCCGAGGCTCGAACTCGCGACCTGCTAGTTCGAAATCCACGCCTCTAACCACTGGGCTACGAGCCCGTTGCCCTGTCGGTTTCGATCGTGAATATAATCTGTTTTAATAAGGAAGGATAACTCACTGTGCACCTCACTCTTCCTTCCATCTTCCATGCATCAGTCGCCTGTGCGAGCCTGTCGGCCAAGTCATGCAATTAAGTTCGCTGGTTTATGTGGCGTAAGCCCCCGCCCAACATATCTCACACGTACGTATGGAAGAATTTGAACCCATGCAAATTCAGCACACCCCGTCTAACATGACTGAACCAATGTGCTTTTGCCTACTATAACCGAAAAATAGAAACAATCATTAGGTGTTGTTCTAGGATGGCCAGGTTTACTTATTTACCAGATGACCGACATCTCGTCTTCCTTCATGTACGACTAGAATACTACTTCCTACTGAAATGCTAACCGAACACTGTAATGTCCGTGGCCCCAACATAAGGCATGATAAATAGAATCCTCGGCGCAGCAGCTGCAAAACGTGGTTTCACGTATGCTTCTCTCAACTGCCGCCTGTATCGTTCCTCCGTTTATCAAGACTCCACTCCTGGACCTCTTTCACCTATCCGACGTCCATCTGGAATACCCTCACCCAATGAGTAGTTTTCGGTCCAATAACGAAAAAAACACTTTAGCCAACCCCAATTTCATGGGACATGGGACACCTCTTCATACAACTTTACTTTGTCAACCGAAACCTCCCACTCGCCGCCAAAACAGCAAATGCTCTGATGAAGATGGCGATTGTTCAACACGACGGGCACGTTGTCGGATCAGTTGTTTTCGTTCAACTGGGAATACACCAGTGCGAAACTTGGCGGCGTAAAGAACAATGTCATCTTTAGAACAATAGTCTTCTATACCTGTTGAACACTTCCTGACACTATTCCTTGTGTCAGTTTTACTGCGTGAGGGCTCTACTGGAAGAAGATATCCTACAGTTTTTGGGCTAGTCGCTAAAAAACATTGCGAAAGGAGATGCCAAGACAGTCGCCACTACGGCTTGCCCGATTTCAAGAAGTGGCGCGGGTCCCATTACAGCAGAAGTACATGTGGAATAAGTTCGCTTCCAACTTTCATGGAATCCACGTGTACAGACAAATCCGAAAGTATTTGCCATTGTTAAAGGCGTCCTTAAAAGGGGTGCAAATACTCTCCGTGACATAGCCCCTAGAAGCGGTCCGCGGGAAGTGCAGGTCATTTGAAAACACCCTTGGCGACCGCATCGCACAAGCGTAGTCTAAGCCGTCCCATTTTGTAAAACGACCACCTTAAAACGCATGTCTTGAAGGATTACTGGGCAGCCCTTGTGACCTGATGATCATTGTCACTTACAAGTTGGTGTAGCGCTTTTCTGCCTCAAGAATGAAGTAACGCTACAGGAAATGGGTGTGTAAACTTACGTCCCGCCGGGTTAGCTTAGTTGTGACGACACTGTTGGAAGGTCGGTGTTTTCACCTCTGGCCTTGGTTTTAGAGGACGTCGAGCAGATGGAGCGGGCTCACCAGTGAGGTTGCGATGAACTGCGCAAAAGTATAACTTGCAGAAGAACAGCATGTTTCTGCTCAGTTTTTGCGTTCACTAACTACATCGAATGTCCCTGCCATTGTTTGCATCTTGGGGTCTCCACTCCTGCACATGTGAACGAGCCACCGTGCTCTGTTTGTTGTTCGAGGAAGTCTCAGTGACCGAAAGGTTGATCGCTTCAGTCTTGCGGAGGGTTTGCGGATGATTCCACCCCATGGTTAATGGTTCGGCGACTGATATTATGTCTTCCTGTACAAGAAAGACATGAATTGTGCATGTCCTCGGCAGAAAAGCATTGCGATAGTTTTTCCAGTCTGCGTCGGGGGTGTAATGGAGGCGAGAACGACCCCTTAGTATGTGTTCATTGGCCACCGCCTAAAGGCCGCATTTCCTGCAAATTTTCTCCTTAACGTGGCCAACCTTCTTTTGACACTCGAAAAGCTCCGGATAGTGGCCGCTTCATGATCGTCTTAGGACCACTTCCTCGACTATTGTGGGAATCTCCTCTGTTTCCCCCCCTTTAGTGCTTCTCCCAGTTCATCAACAGACCTCCTTCTAGGTGCAACAGCATATCGTGTTGACTGGGGTGCTCTTCGCATAGGCGTCCTGCCAGGAACATACTTTTGATTCCTAACTTCTTTTGACTGAGAGCTTTCGACTTTGCTAAGGGGGTTTGCTTTTTTGTCACTTAACCCACTGCGATCTGGTTACTATGTTGGAACACGACCTCTCCCCCACCCCTCGGCGTTTCCGTTGATGTAGGTATTCGAAAGCTTGCACTTGGCATCGGTTCACACTCGGTCCGGGCATAGGCTTCTCAGCGTTGGAGAGATCTGCTATCTGGTAATTACGAAAACCCACAAGCTCTGCAGGTCCTTTGGCGATTCCCAAAGCCCCTTCTCCATTGCCCACGATTTTGCCTGTTATGAGGAGGACTAATGACCTGGGGGGAGACCGAATGCTTTCACGGCATCGGAGTTTCTTGCGTGTTCGGCATTGATCAGAACGACAGCACCCGCCTTGGCAAAATCGTCCGTAAAGTCATAATGTCCCAATTTTATTCCTGATTTTCAGCCGAAGAGCACTTACGTTTGTTAGCATTATAGATAATAAAGCTACCGGTTTGTAGACAGGGAGAGGAGTTTGTTGGAAGATTGCGGGGCATAGTCGTCGGAAGGTCCTGACTATTTTTCTTTTCTTTGTGCTTGATTGATACTGGAGCGCTAGTTTCAAACTAGTTTTCAAGCTCATTGACCCCCAGTTGACGTTCTAGGACCGCAGTGAAAGAGTGATCTACATCAAAAGAATCATCGCCTTTGGACCGTCCTAACCAAGTCGGAAGCAATGGTTTTGTACATCACCTTTTGCCGGAGATCGGCACGGGAAATTGCTATTGCCGTTTCAGGAGCCGTCTCTATTTGACCGTAGTATTGTGCCGACCTGGTAATGATAACTGCTCTCCATCTCAAGGGTCTTTTCGTTGGTTCTCACTGAAAGTTGTTCTTGCCTTGTGCATAACAGTAGTCAGAATTTCAAAGATCAAAACACGACTGAATGTCCAGATAAAATCTAACAGTACTAGGCTGTGATCCTCTTTACCCCTTATGGGAGTAATTTCAGCAGTTAGGTTCACTGTTAATCCGATGGAAATATCTTTTTTGAGATGTTGGTGGTGGCGACGTCGTCTGTCCACTAAGCAACTGCAATGGCCTATAGTGTTTGCGATATTTATGGTGTCCAAGGGAGAAACTCGTGCAGTCAGGAATCCGCGGCTGTGAGACTCGAGCCACTGACTACTCTCATTTTAAGTGTCCAGATTGCCTATTTCGGAGCCTTCGCATCCGAACCTGTGTAAATTAATCGTTGTTCAGTTTTTGATATACTTTGTGCGCTTTTTATCGTTTCGGGATGCTTCTCTAGGGTTTTCGTTTGACGCAGAACCACACGAGTCTTGAACAGACACGTACAGTATACTCGTAACAAACCATAGTGACTAATATGCAGGCTTTGTTATAAGCTAGCTACGCGACGTCGATAACTCAGGGGATGAGTATCCACGCAAGAAATGAGGTAGATTGGTGGTTCCAACCAACTTTAGGATGTATTTGCTGTTCATACGCTTTTCTATATTTCCTCATCCCTCAGTCCGACAGGCCTGAACTAGGGAACTTTGAACATGACTTTCTAAGTCGGCGCACTTTAGCAGTGAACTAATCTGTAAGACTTTCCGATGATGGAAGCAGACTTTGAACTGGCGGTGGAATGGCGAGGTTACTTGAAGGTGACTTGTATGTCATCCGATTGACTGAGCTGGTTCTGTTTTCTCCTTATTACCGAGTTTCTTATGAGCAAATCATCCCTTTTTATATCCCCAAAAACCGATGCCTTCCGATGTTGGGTCCATGTTAAACCTAATGGAAGGCCTATCATTAACAGTAGAAGCATTCTCGCAGAGTTGATCTATTTTTGAAAAAAATCTACCATGATTTTGCTTGTGGTTTAATTATGGTTATAATTATAATTTTAATCACTTAAAGCCCTTGTCGCCTGGCAGAATTTCCCTGCTCTCACTCTGGGGATTTTTCATTGTCATAAAAACGATGCTCGTTAGGCGGCTATGTAATTTATTCCACGAAAGCCACCCTAAATTCGGTAATTTAGACATTTTTGTTGACTTCAGTTTTTTGGGGGAGGGTTGGGAGTGAGGGGAATTCCCCCGTTCTAACGCCCTTTCTCTTTCTTTATTCCAGTCTGCGTCATATTCTCTCCGAAGGCGTCGTCTGAGGGACAGCGATGAAGTCCACTCTCACCTGGATCGCAGACAGACTGCTCCAAAAACCTGCAGGTTCACTACAGGTGGTAGTCCATGGACAGAGGACTCAGCCTCATCCAAAGTATCTGCTTCCGTGTCTTGGGCATCTAGGGAACCTCGGTCTTCGCCCTCACACCGTCCCCCAGCTATCTCCTCTGTGGGCGACTGGAACAGGGGTCGTGAGCAGTCTACAGCCTACCCCGTACAGTCTACTGCCGGGTCGTTTGTGGATTCGCGCTCTAACGTCGTTCACTGCCCGCCACCCGAGCGTCACCAACAGCAACAACAACAACATGGTCATTCTTCAGTTGGGAACGCCAACGTCGCAGCACACGGGGACGTTTCACACACCTACCTCGGAGCGTTTCAACTATCCAATGACGCTGCCTCCACTTCCCCCTCCTCCGCCTCATCTGTTACCAACACCACCTCTTCAACGTCATTTCCGTCTCGACGCCCCTGCCCACGGGTGGAAACGCAGATAAGGCAAAACAATGCCCAGGCGAATTTTGATTTTCAACACAGCGGTCAAGGCAGCCTCGGAAGTATTGTTTTGCCACCCCTAAACTCATCTGGCGCTGAGACCACCTCAGCACATTACTCAGTCGAGACTCAGCCTAATTCATCCACCTGGCATGAGGATTTCCTGGGATTTGGTAGCGTTCTGCCATGGCAAACTCTTCCCAATGAGGAAGATGCCAAATTGAGTGTCGACTGTGAAACACCTGCAATGAGCTTGCCAGGCGATCTGCCAATGACCAAGTCCTCCAGTCCGATTTCCTTCAATTTTAACTCGCACTCGACCGCCGATCTCGAGACATCCTCTGATCTTATCACACACTGTGATACCTCCACCCTAAACCTTCAAACCCACGACAGTACGCCGACCGTCGACTCCGGTGTCGCCTCATTGATAAACCCATCAGATGGGTTAGACCTAGGACCTTTAGACTTGGATTTTGACACCGTCTCCTCTGCTCTTAATGAGATGGTGGAGGCCAATGGTCCCATTCCCCTTGACATTGATTTTAGTCTCACAGCTGACCTATCCAATGCATCATCGTCAAACTTTCCTCAGAAGACGTCAAACGACCTTTCGGAGAGTGGAAGTCAACACGACGAAGGTGTCTATGGACTAACAGGACCCGAGTACTCAAATAAATACAACTACCACTTTTCGGAAGAGTCACTTGTGCACATCCAAAACACCTCAAATAATATGTATCCGGACTGGACCTCCGCCTACGAGACGTTGTATGAGAAGAGTTTGTTCGACCTGAATTCGAAAGCCTGATCCAGCATTGATTTGGCCTAAACCTCATTTTTTCTGCGGTCCCTAGGTCTTATGCCTTATGTTGGTTACCATATTCCAGTCGGAACGCTTTCCTGGCGTGTTTCGGTGGCTTCCGTTTGCCTTGACTGTCCACGCCCCATTTTATTCATTCAAGCGAGATTCGGTGTTGAACTTGTAATTTTTATCGTTGACTTCGTTATAGTTTGTATTTTATACGCGTTGCAGCCATATATAAATATATGCCTATCTGCGTGAACACACCAACATGGGTGGACTTGTACATACAACGCACGCACTCAAGATCTGTACATTCCGATTGACAAAATCTGGACCATCTTCACAGACGCTCACAGGTATCAGGCTGTTTATGCTGAATACGGTGCTGCGGTATCCTTCTCCACACAGGAACCGTGTTCAGTTGCCATTTTCTCTGCTCCCGTCACCGACACCACCTCTTCTTGAATTTTAACCTTTTGACCTGTCTTGGCGGCATTCACTGACTTACACCCTTTTCTAATATGTGCTTTTACGGCTGTGAGCCCCCTGTTGTGATAAGCCAACTGTCTGCTTTCGTGCGATTGTGATGTTCCTTCATACCTCCAGAGGGGGGAGGCTCCAGTCAGTTGACCGGCCCCGTTTGGATGTGTATCTATGCATTTCAACCCATCGCCTCGTCTGGGTAGCGCTGGCGCTTACTCTTAGGTAAGACCACTGCGTGGTTCTTCTAAGAGCTCTCTGTGAACTGGGGTCTGGAACCACGGTCATTGCGCTAACTACCCTTCGAGAGCGGATCTTCAACTGGACCCGTGAACTGAAATGCAGTTTCACGTGTGTCTGAAGTTTTGCCCGCGGCTGTTACTCTGAATTCTGCTTTGAAATATCCTTCCAAACACTCCTTTTATTGGTTGAATTTACGTCGATAATTTTGCACATTTCATGTTTTCCTTTTCAGTAAATTTGCTGCATATCCACTCTCATTTTCAACGCGCTGGTTGCTTTGTGAAAATTTGTTTCGTCCGGGGGTCATCACTGCGCCTAACTTGGCATTTGTGATTGCCGACAAGGTCTGCGGCGACTTGCATCTGGACTCTACGCAAGTCCTTATCTGACTAGGGACGATTGACTGTTTATCATTGATAGATTGGAATAATTACCTTTGAAAATGAAGTCTTCCAGCCTGCGTTGGTGGCTGGCACCAACCTGTGTTGTCTGGACTTCAGGTACCTCCTGGGCGTCTGGAATCGGAGCTACTGCGTCAGTCCTTTAGTGGTCTGCTCTTTTGATGTGATGATCAGGCTAAAATTTTACTTGGAATTGGAAGGTCCATAGACATTTTCAGTGAGTGCTGCACCATACTCCCAATGTCGGCATTAGCTAGAAGCCCAGACGTGTTTCGCATTGTTCTACGCCTACGTGGTGCGACTGTGAACCTTTCGGTTCATTCGCGGGCCCTCGGCATGTTCTATGCGGTTTCTGGTTTAACGGGAGTTTTTGTAGTGACCTAGTTTAGAGCGACAGACGGAGCACGTATGGAAATCTTCAGGACAAGTTCTGTTAGATTTTGCTCCTTGAGTAGACTTTGGATTTGCGTGCTTACAGTCTGTGCTAGGTAATAACGTAGTGTTTAAATCTGCCAAAATGACAGTAAACAGTCGGACGACCGAGTTGCTCGCCTGCTGCAGGAAGCATGGCAGTCAACCGAGGACTCGATTAATCGACATATCGATCTGCCAATCGCCTATAAAGCACTGCGTGGGCAAATCAGCAGCGCAGCTAGAGGTCGCCCCCGGCAGAGGTGAGCTAAATATAGGATGAGTTGTACAATTTTTCATTCCTTGACGATGGGCTCGCGTGAGAGTTCGAAACTTCAGACAAACAAACTGTCCCAGCGATCGCCTTCCCATCTTCTATTCAATTACCTGGTCCGCGCGTGTTCTCTATCATTCAGTAAACAGTGTATATGGCACACGAAGTATCCCTTCACGAAATTCCCAACACATGCTTATCGGGCCGACAGCCAGAGTCATCGTCCTACTTCGAGTTTTCAGGCGTGCACCGAAGCCCGCTAGCAGAAGCAGTTGGAGAACAACAATGGAGGCATGGTATATTCTCTCATTGCATGTGTTCTTGGCCGAAAGAGGGGGCCAGTCATCTCCATGTCGGATCGTTAAGTTGAGGAGTTAATAGAGGGGCCAATGTGCTAGTTTGTGTACTTGTGATTCGAGGATTTGGTGTGCGTTTGTCGTACTGCACGGGGTCCGCGCACGACATGCCGTACATGCATGTGGAGACGTTCACGCTGCTTCTTACCACCGGTTGGTTGAAGAGCCCCGGTATTTAACTAGCGTGGGGGGCATTTGCCCCTAAAACGGACCACGCAGTAGATGCGTTGGACAATCCCCAGAGCTAGATCGGAGTCCTTCAGCCGTTATCGGGAATCCGCACCCCAGAACAAATGTCAATATTTAAAGTACGGTGGAAAGCCAAGCTGCATGCTCGTGCCACGCCATCTGGGTTACCTGCAGTCTTCCGTTTTTTTGTTGTTGAATATCCAGGTCAGGTGTTTATCGTGGACCAGGGGTGTGGTAATACGCCTAAGTGCGGATTTTCGCCGTTTCAGCTACTTGCGCCGCCTCCCGCCTCCGGTCTTCTTGACTATATCTTGACAGGGGCTCCGAGTGGGGAGGACGAGAGGGTGCGGTAGATGCTGCGCAAGTCTACTATCACTATAAGCTAACTCGCGCTCAGATCGTCGTGTACGCTCTCACCCTCCTGCGGATTACATAGTGGATATCGTCGAGATCGACGGTCAAACTCTCGGTTAGGGGCAGAGTGAAGACATTGCTGAGGAGGGAGCTATGCTGATGAAAAGTCAGTCTATTCTTCGCTATAATGGATCTGACGCGCCATCGGTCATGAAAGATTGCCGACCGACGTGGCAACTCGGTACTACTCAGAGCTGAAAGTCAGTCAACAGTGGTCCCTTAATGTGGCCTGTACGACACTCACTGCCATGAGATCCGAACCCCTGTGTTACATACAATAGAGGCGACTTCACACGTCAGCCACTAGGCCCAATCTCTTCAGTTGCCCAACAGGCTCGGATTGTCCGCGGGTCTAAAACTGAGGAAGGAGTGAGTAGAGCTGTTACTGAGGTGCTCGTCCCCGTATCGATTCAGTGCACCCCTTAATAAACCTGACGAGGTTGAAACTTTTATGATCTGCTAAATTCGTGACTTTGAAGGTTCCCACCTGACAGGAAGCCGGGTCCTGGGGTGCGGATTGCAATAGGACCACCTAAAGGCTGCCTTCACGGCAACCCTGTGTGGGAATCCTAGACTCCATATGGATTTTGGTTCGCGTGTGACATGCGTAGACAGTCTTGGCCGGGTAAATCATTGCTCTCATGCACAATTCCATTGCTCGTAACTTCATCTTGCCTTTAGATCATGGCGGGTGTGGGGAAGAGGTAGGCGGATGCTGCGCAAGTCCCCTTCACTACGAGTCACTTCACGCTCGGACCAACACGGCTGGAGTCCTCATCGAGCATCGTGAACGAACTAGCGGTTCAATTACTTGTCCTTGCGTTGGTGTCGTTCGTTTTTATACTCGACTTTCTGTGCTCGCTATAAGTCATCAAAGTCGAATTTACGACATCGCTCCAGGGGTGATGGGGGGGACTTTTGCCAGCCCTCCACATCGCATGTACCCGTGCTCCGAGCCCTCTTGCCGCCTGAGTTGTGTACTTTCAGCAGCAGCAGCAGCCGGCAAAACTCTTCAGCAACGCGGTTTTGTCTCAAAATAATCTCCGGTAGATGGTAGAAGAGGCATAATTCTGGCAGATTTCATCTCGTTGAGTTTTGTCGCTGATTTCGAAAGCATAAGCTCACAAAGGCTTGGTGGTAGCCCTTCTTTACGGGTTGAGATACGGCACTTTTCTTGTTCGCCCCACCGGATTCATGCAAGACTTTTCGGCTTTTGGGGAGAACTTAAAGACGTTCGTTTTTGTCACTAGCCAATCGCTCCGTTATTTTCATATCTGTATTGGGCTGGTTGCCATTCGCACACTTTGATTCTAGTCTGTCAGTTCATTTTGTTTGAATGAGAACACCGCTATTGGATAATAGGAGAGGTGATCTTCGGTACCTCGCGAAAACAAGTTCGTAGAGGCCGAAGACGACCTTTCCCGTGACTATTCCCACATTCAGGCTAGAGGCTAAGTAAACCATCGGTGAACATGGGGAAACTCAGAGGGCAGAATTAGAATGGTTTCACATAATAACAGTCTTGAGGGATGCCGCGCTTCTGAACTCTTTGTCTTACCGCCTCCTATCCTTGGACATGAAGTCCGTTGGATAGGCGTGTGCAATTTCACGCGCGAGGCTACCATTGCAACGGTGGGCTGAGAGAGAGAGAGAGAGAGAGAGATGGGGAGGGGAGGAGGACGGGCAGAACCCTTCCGAGGGGAGTTTACTTCTCAAGGGGACGATTTGGCGTGGGGGGAAATGACAAATTTATAAGTTTCAGGCATCCCTTTGGACTGTTTTTCCTCCTGGGTGTGGTCACGTCATCGGCCTTCGTTTTCTTCGAACCTGTAAAGCTTCATAACCTAGCACTCATTCGTCTCTTGGGCTACTGCCTCTTAGTAGACAGTTGGATGACAGTTAGTACACTTTCGGTTACACTTCATCCGAGTTTATAAAACCACCTACCGGCACAAGTGGGCCAAGATTTTCCGATCTTTCAGACATTTGACCTTGTCGAACAGTGGATTCATTGGTTGTTTTGATGATGGGCTCCAAAGGTGGTGGACATCCTTGTTACTCCTCCGACACATCAGTCTAACTTTCCAGAGTTGCGTGAGCAGCATTTCCTGTTTCAGCGTTTCTGCCTCTTTCGCATGAGTTACCGACTTATCAGATCTGTGGCCAGGCGCCCCTGGGATCGTAGCTGTCGCATGATCCATGGTCTTTTATTCCTTGGCTCCGAGTCTCTGCCTG